AGTGAGGCAGAGTGTGTCATGCCAGGGTACTACTATTCTTGGTTGGAGCGAGATCAGGAACTCCTGGATTACAACTACCTCTCTTTTTTGACTCCGGAAGTTAATAAGGAAAGGGCAGGTGGTAAGAAAATCTAGGCAGCAAATGTATACTTTCTTACCACTTCCTCTCTCCTTAACAACATTCAATCTAACTTATTAATCTACCCAATTTAAACTTAAATGGAAAGTTACTGACCAATTTCTAATGGATAGGGGCTTATATGAATCCTCATCCTCCCCCATCTCTGAAGCAGTCAAGCCTCCTTCCATAAAAAAACACAACCCTGTCCCGATTTTCTACTTTATCGCTTTTACTTTCTCTTCTCTGTTTAAGTGACATCCTGAATTCTACTGTTAATTAAAGGAAATGATTCTCTGATCTTTTCGCTCCATATTCTCCCACATCAATCTAACCTATTCCCACGGTTTCTATTCTCTACGCATATACAATCTGAAAACCTCTCTCCCTAACCCCATTCATTTGTGTACATTTGTATAAAACCACGTTATGTCTCCCCACGTCCTTCCACTTTCAACAGAAAACAGAGCCCTGGGTTTCCTATGTACATGAATAACCTCATCACTTCCCCCTTCAGCGATTCTGAACCACTGTGCTACAAGAGGCACAATGGTGTGCCTCAAGAATTTTTAAAACAGTCAATACCTGACTATTTAATCAAGGGCACTGACCTCTTTTCCTTTAGAATGTCAAGTTAAACAATGGCAACAGCCAACACAACAATAACTGTCTGGTGTGAATAAATCAAAAGTATACCTATTCTTTGTCAGATCAACAAAAACCGTATTTTTGGGTGTGCCACAGAATTTTAGTAGTTAGTCTTTGTGTGCCATCAGACAAAAAAGGTTGAAAACCACTGTCCCAGCCATACATGTTGGAAACCAGTATCGCACATGACACTTCCTTTTTTCTAATGGCCCAAATACATTCAGGTCCCAAATCCAGCAAATTCTACCTCCTACATTCCTACTGCCACTATTGTAATTCAGAGCTCTACCATTTTGTACACAGACTACTCCTTAACTGTGCCTTCTTATAGCCCCCCTGTTGCTAAATTAACCTTTCAGAAGCACATCCCTAATCATGGTCCCTTGGTGAAAAACCGTCAGTGACTTCTCACTGGCTCACAAATTAAATACAAGCTTTAGTCAGAGAGGCCCTCCAGGCTTCAGACCTCATCTCTCTTCCCATTTCACCTCCAACATACACACACACACACATATCCACACATATATGGTTGTCTGAAAAAAGTCCCATACTGTTAATATAATGAGAACAGTCTGCCTGCCATCCACATAACCTGGCACCAAGAAGAGTGGACTGGAATGCACACGAGTACGAGTGAACAGTGACAGCTTCACTGCATTAGTCAGTGGTGGGCAGTAGACACCATTCATTGAGCATGACTGTGTACTGTGTGGCCACTGCATGCAAAAGGACTGAGCCGGTAGAGCAACGGATCTGCATCAAATTTTGTGTTAACCTTGAACATTCCTCTGTGAAAACTATTCAGATGATGAGCAACCGACAGCTTCATCATGACAATGTGCCTGCTCACGCACCACACATCTCGTGCAGTTTTTTCCATAAAACTCTGTATCATCCAGGTAACTCGGCCCTCTGTAGCCCAGATTTGGTATGCTGTGACTTCTGGCTTTTCCTAAAACTAAAATCAGCTTTGAAAGGGAAGAGATCTCAGACGGTTGATGAGATTCAGGAAGATAAGACAGGGCAGCTGATGGTGACTAGAACTGCATGAGCTCCTAAGGTGCCTACTTTGAAGGGGACTGAAACACTGTCCTACGTATAATGCTCCTTGTATCTTCTTCAATAAATGTCTATTTTTCATATTACATGGCTGGATACATTCTGGACATACTATAGGTGTAGATATATCAAGTAGATTTCTCTCCGTTCACCAACTCTGTACCCATTCTTCAAAGCTGAACACAAGTGCCATTTTCTCTGAAGCTCTCTCATACCTTCCCTGATGGATGCTATCTCACTCCCTTCCTTGAAATCTTTTAGCATTTAATAAGTGCTTCTGCATCTTTGAGCATGTTCAAAATTTACTATCATGTGAAACTGCTTCTCCCTAAGATCTTGAGCTCTGAAACCTCCCTCTCCAATCAAATTTTCCTGTTCTTCCTCCCCTTATTGAATCTATTTTGGGCTCATAATGATCTTTGATTTTTCAACAGCAGTAATCTATGATAAAAAATATCTTCTAGTTTACTGTATCTTACATTATGACCCAATCCTCTCCCCACCCCAAATTCCAATGAAGAAATGTTAACGTTAAGGATATCACCTCCACCAGGAGATTCCACAGATGCTTTAAATTCAGCATGACCCAAACTAAGTTATCTCCTCCCCAAACTCACATCTCCGATGCTCTCTAAACTCAACTAAAAATCTTGATTCCTCATTCATTACACATATTGTCATTCACGAAGATATACTGAGAGCATCCTTAAATCTACGAACTCTGTACCCCTAAATCATTGCCAATGAGGATCTCATCACTGTTTACATAACTGGTCTTTCGTGGTTCCAGCTGCTACTACTTTCAATTCATTTTCTAATACAATAGCTACATAATTTTTTTAGATACACTGATCTAAATGTGCTACAATGTCCAGCTTAAAAACCTTCCAGGACTCTTGATTTCCTGTAAGACAACGTCCAATATCCTGAGCATGGCATTCAATCTTATTATCTGCCCATTCTCCAGAAACAGGTCCTAATTAGACAATGAAATACACTCTCTTCTGCTTTCATGCAATCACTTATTCCATGGCTGCTAAAACAGTTTTCAGTAGGGTCCATTTAGCTATTTTGTGAAGACTTCGTTCGATACCTCACAACCCTGTCTCCCAAAGTCTGAGTCACCTCCTCATCTATATTCCCACAGTACTTTGTTCATGAAACTAGTAGACCATTTATCACATTAAATTACACATATACTCATGGTCTTCCTCCTCCAGTTTTAGGCTCTTTGAAACAAGCTCATTTTATCCATATTTTACCCACAGTATCTAGTATGGCACACAAAGAGATTTTAATAAATGTTTACAAAATAAATCTAATTTCAGAATGCCCAAACTCAATCTACCCTGGGTGATTTATCAAATAATTGAGGGTAGAAAAGGTAGAAGAGTACAGATGGGTCCCATACAGGTAAAGTGAAATGAAGAGGTGACTGACTCCAGGACACTTTCAAAGGTCAGGGCAAGAGCAGGAGGGCTAGAGGGTATGCTTCCCTCCTCACTGCTTTGGCCACAGACATGGGAGCCACACCAGAATAATAGGACAGCAGGGAAGAGGCAATCAAGACAGCAGAGAAGTGCAGGGTGTGAAGCAGAAGAAATCAATTAGAAACAATAAGACTCCTAAACAAGCTACAGAAAGGAAGTGTCTAAGGTCACAAATTACAAGCTCAGCCTTGCTCATCACCGTCCCTGTTTTCACTACCCTCACCTACAGCAATCGGTTACTGGTCATTTACCTATTAGCGGCTGGACACTATGCTGAAAACCACCATATATATCATTTGATGTTCATGACAACCCTATCATGAGTATATTATCTACATTTTAGAGAGAATAAAACAAATCTATCAACAATTAACCATATTGTCCACAGTTTCATAGCTAATATGTTAAGTCACAGAGCCAGAATGTGAAAAATGGTCAGGCTTCAAAACACGTTCTCTTTCTGCTCTACTGTCCACGCACCAGGGGTGTGAAGAAGTCGGGGGCTGTCTTTACTGCCCTGCATTATTCAGTTATCTTTGTGAGCACACGTCTTATGTTCTTCAATACCAGAAGGGTATTTTTGAGAATACAGTCCATGTCTAATATGTTCTATTTCTTCCCTACCATCTTGTGATGATTTTTCTGTATAGAAATCACTCAGTTTTTCATTAATTTCTTATTATATCTAATTACTGGTAGAAATAAAATGAGGTTTACCAGTCTTTCGTTGGCGTTAATAAGCCAAATACAAAAAAAGGTGATGTAGCTCCTCGGACTACATGTGCTGGGGTGAGCCTTTGAAGCATTAACTGCAATTAGCCCTAAAACACAAACCACAGCTATAAAATTCAGGATGATTTGGTATAAAAATAAAAATGCTGTCTTAAGATATATACAGCTTTTTTCAGACAAGGGTATAAAGATAATAATTACTATATGAGTTGGCATATATTAAACACACGAATAACTTACTTAAATGTGAAAATAAATATGCCGTAATTAATAATAAAATCTCTTTTATTTCTCTCATCAAAAGGTGTAAAAACATGTGAGAATAGACTTATTTATGTCTTCCACACGGGTTGAGGTCCAAAGTCAATGTCAGTACACAAGGCAAAAATCAATCAGAAACAAGATAATCCTTGAGAATTCCTTAAACCATCCTTGAAGAACAGCGCAATACAGTTATCAGCTCTCAATAACGCCATCTCAACAGTTTCTCTCCTCCTACGCAGAACACACAGATCGCCACTTCTGCTGCCATGTGCCACCTAAAGTACCTGGCTCGTGTCCAGAGGCCATACTGAAGGAAAGAGCACACATTTACACACCGGAACCATATCAACACTGGGAGATACTTACACTGTATCAGTTCCGGTAACAGGTATGAGGAACTGACTTCATCTGGGAGAACAGCAGGGTCACATCTTCCATGGCATGCTCGCTAGCATATGTTCATTGTACAAAAGGAGCTAGAATTACTAGGGACTTTAAATTATTTAGTGTTTTGCTCTTGGGTGTTGTGGTTTTTGTCTTCAGCCCAGAGATATGAATGTGAATAAATTATATTCCCAGAAGTATGACTCTACTGTATGTGCTATTTATTGTGCAATCACAGATGCCCACATTGTACACAAATAACCTAATACGGCAGTGTCATCTAAAAAATAAACAACCTATCTTACCTTCATCCATGGATGCTTCACTACTGTATCCATCATACTCTGCAGAGAGAGGACTGTATTTTTGTCTCGTTTCCCAAGTATAATTCTGTTGTCTACAATCGGCCAGTGGGAGCCTGGAATTGTGTGTTCGGGACAAGGCCTCATGGTATTTACCCAGTGCTTCATCTTCACTTTCAGAGGACGAACCATGCTCATCTTTGTCCATGTAGGAATTATCTGTTTTCGGTGACAAGGAGAGTAAATAAAAATTATAATGCAACAAAGGATGATGAATTTGTTACAGTTTTATACATATATGTAACATACACACACATCATATATATCCATATACACACATATAAACATACATATACAAATACACAATCTGAATTTTCAGTTTCATAAAAGTATAATTTTTCCACTTAAAAAGCCCAAGATTTTTTTTTAAACCCAAGATTTAGATTTTATGTTTTAACAGAAAAAGGCTGATCTATGTACTCTAATTATATAAATAATGTTAGTCACAGGGATTTTCCTACAATGTTATACAGAAAGAAGATAACAGAGCTTGCCATCTTACATAATTTTTACACCATCAATAGTACACAGATGTTATTATTGCCAAAACGTGTGGACCTGATTCAAATAATTCATGTTACGAAAGACACTCATTACCACCTTAGCCAAAAATTTTTAAAGTGACAATTCCTAGCACTAGCGATGAAAGAGAAATGGGTAGACATATACAAGGGTGAGCAAAACTAGGTTTGTAGTTGTGCATGAACAAAAGAGAGTTTATTCATAAGTATTAATTAATAATTATTGTATTATTTACTTGTGCTACAACTATAAACTTTTGCCCATCTCTGTATTAATGGTGAAATAATAATTGGTAAAACTTTTCTAGAGAGCAGTTTGGTAATATATATTAAGCTTTCCAATCTGCACAGTGTTTGATCCATTTCTAAGAATTTACCAATTCCATTTCTAAGAATTCAGCCTAAGAAAATAATTAACAGGTGAGCAAAGATATACATTTGAGACAATTCACTGCATTGTGTTTAATAGTAAAAGGAAACAAAAATAAAATAAAACCTAAACATCCACCTCTGAGCCTTGGTTAAGGAAACTGTAATGTATCGATGCAGTAATACACAATGCAGTCTTCAAAACTGAGGTGCACTCACTATCACTAGTACTTCCCTGTGAGGGAAAGGACAACTGTAACATTATGTTGAGAGAAAAGAGAAAGTTATAAAATAAAAGGCATATTTATGGTCTCATTTTGAAAATACATACACACACACACATGCAATATACACACCGTACATGCAGTATGGACTTACATGCACACACAACTGTGTAGAAAGATACAAAACAAACTTAACAGATCTGCAAGTGGTAAAATTACCAGCAAAATTTCCCCGTATTTCACATAAAACGTTTAGGTGGTATAAATTTATTATTTTAAAAAGTACAAGTTATCAACTATTAAAAAGGTAAAATTTTTGAAACTTCAACATACTGAGATATATTTAAACCAAGATGCAGCCTCGTAGAATACAAATCAACTCTAGAAGGATGAAAAGACAACAGGTAGAATTTATGACTTCAGTCTAGATACTTTTTATACTCAGTTGAGATCATCTGTACTAAAGAAATTGAGGTTTGAAATTCAAGTGGGGAGATGCAGAACGAGTCATTTTACAATATGGGATAAAAACTGAATGTCTAGAGGTAGAGGTAAGGGAATTTGGGTGTCAGTAGTCAAAGTCCCACATTTTAATTCAGGAAAATAAAGTCATAAAATGGTAAAACTATCACCAATGTCACATTCTGCATTGCCCAACCTATAATTACTAGCAACACGTAGCTACTTAAACAATTAAATATACTAAAATTTAAAATGTAGTTCCCCAGTGCTACTAGCCACATTTCAAGTGCTCAATCACCATGTGTGGTTGGTCGTTCTTATACCAAGTAATATGGATATGCCAGACTTTTCCACCACTGCAGGAAGTTCTACTGGACGGTAAAAAGATGATGTCAGATCTGGTCTGGAACCAAGGCATTTGACTCTCAGTTCAGAAATTTCAGCACTTTGGGGAACACCATGGCTGTGGTCTTCAGGCAGCAGGAGAGCACTGTGGGCAATAACTAGAAATTCCAGTCACACTTCACCTATTACAAAACATTACCTGACGTAGCCCTGCACTCAAACAGAACAGGAAACTCTTCCTCCTCTTTCTGTGTCTGATAAGCTCTATGTCAGAACCAAGAACACAAGAACTAGTAATATCACAGTTGAGTATGTGAAAGGATTAATGCATGGGTCAAATAATTTTTTAAATGATTTTTAGAACATAACATGTTTACTTTTAGTATTGTCTATAATCTTGAATACTTGAGAGGTATTTGGTTTCTTTAGGTACCAGCATGCTTCTTAATGAAAACAATCAAAGAAAATTAAAAATTCTGTTCTGCTACTTGTGAAGAATTTATTACTAGTATGAACTCTACTGTTATTTTCTGAATAAACTAATTTGTAAACTACTTTACTTAATTCTTATTTCTTTCCTGTATTTCTGCTACTTCAAGTAATAGCAAGGCTACCAAAACATATGAATCTGACAAGTAGGCTGCTAGCAGAGTAGATTCCAAAAGGGACAAAGAGCTGATCTTTGGTATCCACAGATTGATTCTAGAACCTTCTGCAGATACCAAACTCAAAGGATGCTCAAGTCCCTTATGTACACCCTCCTGTGTTCTTTAAATCATCTCTTGATTACTTCTAATACCTAATACATTGAAAATGCGATGTAAGAGCGGTGGGTATCCAACCTTTGGCATCTCTGGCCACACTGGAAGAAGAAGAGTTGTCTTTGGCCACACATTAAATACACAAACATTAATGAAAACTGGTGAGCAAAAAAAGGTTTTAAGTAAACTTATGATTTTATGTTGGGCCACATTCGTAGCCATCCTGGGCTTTATGTGGCCCATGGGTCACAGGTTGGACACCCCTGGTAGGGAGCGATGAGAAGAAAAAAAGGCTTGTACGTGTTCAACACAGATGCAACAATCATAAGCCTAACTGTACAGTACATGTCAGCGACAATATAACACTTTAATATATATACATACATATATATATATTTATTCAAGTTTTTTATTATCTGGACTAAGTATTGCAAGTTTAAAAAATTATTTATTTCATCTGAATTATAAAATTTCTGGAATGATGCTATCTTCTGATTTGAAGCTGGCTGAATCCGTGGTTACAGAATTCATAGATATGGAAGGCTGACAGTATTTCCAAAAACTGGTGTTCCTTTTGAGTTAGCTTATTCATCCTGGATCAGCCTCTATTACCTCATTTAAATAACATTCACATAATTGATAAATACCAGATCCCTATTCTGTATCAAGTCATGGAGCAGAACTGAAAAGTCTTCCTCATTCCTAATATTACTCACACTTTCTTTTTCATAAGAATCTAAATTTATAGAAAAGTTCCAGATGCATATTTCATGTATTTTTATGCATATATTATGTAAAGCCAGTGTATGATCAGGCCTTATGATCAGATCAACAGTAAATGGAAATGATTAAGGTACTACCAGAAATTATCACTAATATGAAGTAATTCTGAAACCAAAACCAAGTAACTGTTAACTAATTGTAGTGAAAATTGTTACAAATGTTGTAGTTGAAAATTATAAATGCTTAGTTGGAATCTTAATGCTATACAGAGAACTCAGGAATAGTAAATACACTGCTCCTGTGTACCCACTTTAGACACAACTGTCATATAACTCTTAACGTATGGCTAAATGAACAGACACACAGCCTGAAGCATGTTACTCAATAAAATAAAATCTATTGCTCTCAAGGAAAAATACTAAACACTTGATTTACATCCTTACTGGGATAGATCTGAAGCGCAACGCTGTACAAAGGACTTAGGGGTTAGTTGCTAAAATATAAAATTTAAAAATGCAACCATAGCACACCAAATAAACTCCAAGTAAAGGATGCACGCCACTTAAGAAAACCATGGAGTTTCTGGTTTAAAATAAATAGACATTAAGAAAAATTAAGGCTGCTGAAAAATAGGCCAAATAATGGAAGAACCAAGGCAATAGTTAACGTAGAGGTATACAAATAGCATCAATACTCTTGAAATGTAAGAAACAAAATGAATGACTTTAAAAATGTCTCCCAGTAAGAAGAATCAAGAAAGTTCAAAACAGATATACAGGCATGTATAGGAAGTTCAGAAATTTGGACTATATTTTCCTAATTTCAAAAATCAAGAGAAATTTTATCACTCAAGCCCACATTAGGAGACCTCACCTTTTTCTGGTTTTATCTTAGAATATTTTTCATCTTTATTCTTTGCTGCTCCTTTTTGGGCAGAAATGGCTTCATTTTTCTTTGTTTTTATGTCTCTTCTCACTTTGTAGCATTTTGATGGATTTACTTGTTCTTTGACACTTTCAAGTAACTTATCTTTAGAATTAGTTGACGGTGCTGGATGTACATCTTCTTTCCTACTGGATTTCTGTATCACAGGTCTATTGCTTGCCAAAGTATCTTTTGGAAAGCATTCATTTCCTAAACAGTCATTCCCTTTGAACCCTTTACTTTTAATATGTTTTTCAGCTTTCTTTAAATGATTTTCTTTCATTTCTTGATACCTTACTTCCTTTAAATCATTCTCACCATTACTAGAAATTCCCAATCCAATTTTTTTGTATCTGTCAGTACATCCAAGTTCATGACCAGTAGATCCCACCTTTGCATTCTGCTTCCGAAGTGATATTCTAGCATCACTCACGCAGCCTTCCAAAGAATTACCAGCACTACTGGTCTCTTGATACTCTGATACTGTCTGTTGCCTATCATCATGTTTAAGTACTCTTTCTTCACTCACTCCTCGACCGTGCCTCTGTGAAACTGAAGCATTGTAATAATCTCTTTGATTTGCTCTGTGCTCTGAATTGGATGGTGTTTTCTGACAATTCGTGTCTTTGGAGACTTCTGGTAATGTGGTGTTTTCTCGTTTAAAAGTATCTACAACTTCTGCTGCTGAAGAGCTTTCCTCTTCTGGGCGAAAGCCATTCATCATGCTTGTTACCTGTTCAGTGACCACATCAGATAAAGTGCAGCCGACCTCCCCAACAGCACTGGTCAGATCTTCCACAGCATTACTGATTGTGTCCACCAGAGAGGACACCGAAGGCAGATTCTGCTGCAAACTTCTGAAGAATGCCATTTTCTACCTCCTTGTCCCTACAAGGCGCAATAACGAAGTTTTCTCTTCTCAAAATATCAAACACTTTGGAATCTCAATTTAACATTTACTCAAATGTTGTTACTCATGAGCTTGATATTAGTATTTCATATTGCGGCTTTTTAAATCTTTTTGTAAATGCATTACGCATTGGAAGAAACATGTCGAAGCAAACACTCTTCCGAAAAAATAAAATAAAAATCAAACCACTTGCTTTAAATGTAATGACATTTTTTCCCATTCCATAGCTATCATAACAGCAGCAAGACAATATTTTCCCCTCAAATACTATTGGTTTTTAATTCTATACCTGCAAGAAGAAGTATAAAAAGCATTTTTATTATATACTTTTAGTTCATTTATTAATAAGGGAACTGCCCTATCTTATTAACAAACTACCAGTATCATTTCAAATAAAGAAAAATATTATGGAGAAATATACACATCTCTTCTTTACCTTACTTAATCTTACCATAATTCTAGGAGGTAAACATTTATTATTCCTATTTAGTAAGTCAAAGAAAAACAAGGCTCAGAAAAATTAAGAAGGTCCCTGAGATCTTTCCAATGGATCCTCAAGGTCAAAACTATTTTTATAACACAAATAAGAAGACAGAGTATTTAGCTTTTCCACTTTCATTTGCTCACAAATGAACACAGGAGTCTTCCGGAGACTTCACGAGAGACGAAATGAAGGAGATATGAGAACCCAGCTGTTTCTTTCTTCTATGCCAGTCATTTTTCCAAAAATTTAAACAATGTCACTTTCCTCACCAATTTTTTGACAAATACACTTTTTAATTAAAAATATTATTTATATTAACATGTAACAGGCTTACTGCTTTTTTAATAAATAAATTGTTAAAAATCTTTTTACATCTTCTCAGCTTTAACTTCTAATACGCTACAAGTCAACAGACACAACTCACAGGCAGAAGCTCTCTGGGCTCCTCCATCATGTTTAACAGTGTAACAGGCCATTAGACCAAAGACACATCAGAGACGCTGAGCCAGAGGAGGCGCTGGAGGCTGCCCAAAGGCTATCTGTAGCCAGTTCATTTGAAACAAATGATCAAAAAGCAGGACTGAAATATGAGAAATAAATCCAACCACATAAAGTTCTGTAGTTTACTAATGCGAGTCACAGGTGTAATTCAGTAACAGATTTTTATAAACAATGAGGCTATCGCTTTATAAATTACCAGAAAAAAACCTATGTAGATGGACAAGAAAAGCTAAGTTTCTCTGCTATAGCTCCTCAAAACTCTTCTGAACACACGCCTTTATAATGGTCAGGTTTATTCTGTTGTCATTTACATAATCCAGAAATAGCAAAGAACTCAGTAATTTAAAAAAAATAACTCCGAGGAAAGCTTTTCCTAAGAGAAAGAACACAGAGCCTCATCTTTCCTGGTACAGAGTAACAGTAAGTTATATAAGGCCTATGATGCAAGGAAGGGAAAAAGAGCACTAATTTTTATACCCAGACTTTAAATATACAGTAAGTTACCTAAAAAAAATAACCTTCTCCAAACAAAGTTATCTACCAGCTGAGATTTCAACAGCAGGTAAAGGAAAGGGTGACCACTTTCAAAAGCCTTCTAGGCACATAGGGAAAAAAGCGAACTAGAGAGTTCTTTGGATAAGAGAGTTAAGCTGTATAAAGTAACAGGATACTCCCTTCTTCTTAAAGCATATCTATTTGTATTCTAGTCTAAAGAGTAAATCTTATATATGAAAAATAAAAGTTACTTTGTAATAGTATCCATCTACCTTTATGCAATATATTAGCAATTTGTGGGCAACAGAAAGACAACTGAACCCGATATACTTAACAGTCTTTTACTCTCACAGACTAGTTCAAATGCTAGTTTAAAGTATATAACTGTATATGTTACAGTATATAACTGTATACATTACAGTATATGTTAAAACCAAACTACTTATTGTATGTTAATAAAACAATAGGATAGTACAGATACAAAGAACAAACAAGAGAAGCGGTCATGGTACTTACAAATTTTATCCTGTGAATTCCTCCTTGTACTGTATCCTGAACCGAGATCTGGAAACCCGCCAACATTGTCAAAACAGACCTTCTTATTAATATAGAGAAAGAGGAGCAGCATCAAGATGATAAACACCCCAACAGCTGACAAAAATCCAACTGCCTCTGGAGAGACTGGAGAAAAAAGTCACAGCTGTGAGCATTTATTCCTCTTTAAGCTACAAATAAGGAGGGAACCCCCAGAGAAATGTTAGATTATTGTCTTATTTGAATTACATTTTTTAAACTATCATAGTTCACAAGTGTTTATAAGAAAAACAACTGCACGGTTTAATGAATTGTTCAATTCACTCAACAGCATTTATTCAACTCTTCTAAAAGTTTCCCTAGAAATTTACGTTGGGACAATCTTAAAAGACAAGAGAACCTCCAAAACTAAATAGAAAAAGTTAAAAGACTGTTTCTTTATCATTCCCAAGTTAAGCAAAATATTAAAATGTCCTGACTGCCAAGCTCTTACGAAGACATCTCCATCCCTAGGAGTTAACCCTTGAAGACTAAGTTCTCAAATAATGTGGCAAACAGATGGCACTCATTACTCTCCCTTTAGAAAATTCAAATACATTCACATTTCTATTGATACTTACTCTGATGCCCTACATGCATCTGCTTTAACAGGAGAATCTACTAGAAATATACAAGCCCATTGGCTTGAAGCTTTCAGTCATTTGAGTCGGCCTCAGCAAATTAAAACTGATAATGGCCCAAGATATATTGCCCATTCTACTTAAACCTTCCTTCAGCATTAGAATATCCAACATAAAACAAGAATACCTTATAATTCAACTGGTCAGGAAATTGTTGAACATGCACATCGTACCTTTAAAAATCTTAAAAAACAAAAAAGGGGGAGCCAGGGGTCTACCCCCCAAAATTTGATTATGTTAACTATGTTTACCTATAATTTTCTAAATTGTGATGAATCACTCTGTACTCCAACTGAGAAACATTTTCAAAAACAAGAGCCAAAGTCATCTTATCCTCAAGTTTTATACAGAGATCATCCTGTATAAAGGATGTACCATCCGCTGAGAGATGGTACTTGGCAGAGTCCTGTGAATCTCTTAACACGGGGAAGTGGGTGTGCATGTGTTTCCATCCCTACAGGTCCTGTTTGGCTTCCAGCTAAAAGGGTGAAGCTTTATGACAAACAGACATCAATGAAACAGACATCGATGAAAACCGATCAGCTAGCAGACCAGGTGGCCCAGCTGACACTGACCAACTAGAAGAAAACAAGCACTAGATTCTGGTGCCAAAAAAGGCAGTTTATGTTGCTAAGTATTTACTAATTTATTTTTCTGTTCTCATTGACACTTGTGTTTTCCTTTAAAGGAGCAAATTTATGCTGCAAGCAAAGAACAATACAGTGATTACTATCAGTTTTCCATAGTAACTGTAATTGGCCTGTATGCCCAGGAGAGGATTTATCATACTCAATCCCTCTCCGATTCTACCTTGTACTTTAGACAAGAGCCACAAAGACTCAGTCTCTTGGTCTTTGTGCAGAAGACTGAATGCTACTATTGCTTTTCTCCCCAAAAGTCCTTTTGTAGTGGAGAACAGGAGAGCTAATTGGAAAGTACTGGATAAGTCTGACAAAACAGTAGTTTCAGCTCTACCTGAAGTCCCATATACTAATATATGGTGGGAGGGGCGCAGTACTGGGGTACCTATTATCAGAATTGTTTCTCCCAACCACACTAGCCCTTGGCATTACAACTCATGGAAAATGGGCTTGCCTTTTATTACTAGAATGCATCTGTATATAAGAATTGTATGTGACCCTGACGGTAACCAAGGATGTTTTTATCAAATTGACCCTCTAGAACAAGACTGGGTCACAGTTTGTACCTCTCACCCTTACTTGTTTTTGGCAACTCCAGGGACAGCTCAAGTCTTTTATAACAAATCAACAAAAATTGATTCTTTGCCTGTTCCAGCAGGCTCCATATACGCCAGCTGTCTTACTCATCTCAATATTACTCAGTTAAGCCTCACTACAGTTTATATAGTTAGAAGACAAACTCAGATATGGATGCCAGTTGATGTAGCCAGAGAATGGGAAGATCCCTATGCCATAATAGTGCTTGACAATGCAATGGCCTCATTAAATGTATGACGGTTTGTTGGCACTTTGATTGCATTTATTGTCTCTGGTATAGTTGTTGCAACTAGTGCAGCCACGGCAACCGCTGCCCTCATTGAGTCAGTTCAAACTGCTCATACTGTTGATATTCTCTTAACCAACTCCACTTTAGAAACACTTCAACAGGCTCAAATTGATCAAGAAATCCTAACTCGACTTTCTGCAGCTGAATCAGTGCTCAACTAGACCGGTGAACGCCAGGATGCACTAGTGACCCGTCAGCAGCTGACCTGTGATCCTGGTTTCTCCAAACTGTGTGTCACCCACTACAATGGAACTCCAGCCAATACTCCTGGAGTGATATTCAACATCACCTAAGAGGAGTATTTTCTACTAATTCAGAGAGACAAATCAATAAATTGCAATGGAAGTTACACCAACAGTTGCAGGACATTCAATGCTTAAATAAGCAGGAGACTGATTTTAATAATGTTTTGCATATTACGATACATTTACAAATTATTTACCCAGGGTCGCAAAAGAGACCAGCAAGTAGCAAGTCTTGTGGGATGTATCACCACAACAGCCTTAACAAAAAACAAAAAAGGGGGGCATTGTAGGGGGACCGGTTTGTCTTGGCCTGGCAAATGTGACTCAGCTCTGTATGGAAAACCTACAGATGGGAAGTGGTGGGTAGGAGCCAGACCTGCAAACCGAGTTTTCCCATGAGAATCAGGCCTAGAAAATACATACAGATTGTTATGGCTTGCTCTTGCTAAAACTCCATCACCCTGGTCTAAAACAACAAATGCGTATTGTCTATCT